TTAAAAATCAAAATGTAACCACAATGCAATTTTTACGCTGTTTGAAAAATTTTGCTGGGGTGTATAAGTTGTAAGGGGAAAAATAAAGTTAGTTAGAAGGAAGACATCAAGATAAACAGAAGGAAAACATCAGGGGAGAAAAACAGAACAGAAAAAGAATAGAGTAGAACAAGCAACAGAAAGAATAATAAAATGAAGAACTAAGCCTTGGCCCTCAGAAAAGTCCTCGTGTGTCTGTTTGTCTGTCCAGAATTTTGCCTACTCTGCATCTCTTCTTCAGTTTCTCCGACCTGCTGAAGTCTTGCCTGGGTGAGATCCTGACCTGTTGGAGGTGTGTGTGTGTGTGTGTGTGTGTGTGTGTGTGTGTGTGTGTGTGTGTGTGTGTGTCCCTTTTTCACTGGCCCCACAGAATGAAGTTTTACTCCCTCAGATAGAAAAGTCAAGTTGAATGATTAGTTCGCCAACTCCAGGATCCCCCTCAATCCCTGAGCTGCTGAAGGCTGGTCCTCATGGCAGCCATATGAAGATGAAAGGATTGATGATGGGTGGCAAAACCTTCGATACACCTCTGGGCTCCTATAGAATCCTGCATAATACTCTTACGTGATTCATTCATGCATTTTTTTTAATCTTATACTAAACTCAGGAAGACAGAGACTGCCATGCACTCCCAATCTTTCTGGAATACCCAGTGTCCTGTGGTTGTGTCTTAACCATATATTCAGTGAATACATGCTTAGGGACCCTGAATGAGGACAGCTTGGCTAGGAATCCTCCACATGATTGGCTAGTAGAAGAGAGATTCTCAGTTGCCTTCTAAGCTCTGCATGGTACCTGGGAATTTCCTGAAGAGCTTTTACAATAGACTTCCTAGCCCTGCCCTAGCTCTGCCCCCAACTCTGAGATTCTGACTCAGAAGGTCTATGGGTGCTGCAGGTACCCGGCCACACTTTGAGAGCACCCACAGGAAAGCCTGGAGCATCTGAGAAACCCTGTACAGTTCAGAACCAGGCCACCACTCATGATAAAAACAACTTCACGCCAAACAGTGCTCCGGCAGCTGCTGTATTAACAGCATTTCCACCCAGCTTTGCTCGATGGGGTTCATAATGAAAGAACTAGAATTTTCAGAACTATCTGGTAAGAGATTTATTCAATTACGGTAATTCAATTTTTAAAGGTATTTGTTCCTTCGTGGAAGCAAAGCCATGCTTTTCTAATTAAAAGCTAATTACTGGCTAATACACAGGTCTCACTGCTCTCGGCATGAGGAGGCCATGGGAGAGAAGGAGCCTGATGGCTGTGCTGGAACCTCAGGTAGAGAAGATAGGCCCCTCAAGGGACTGCAGAAGGAAGCCAAGGCTGCTGTCTTCATCTGTTCAACAAGCACTTTAAAAGGGAGATCTTTAAATACTTAGTATGACTTAAGCCTCTCCTCGCCTAAGATCCATCATAAGTTCTGATGTGGGTCAGGTCCAGGATGAAATACAAATCTTTAACTCAGTCGAGTCCTGAGCAAACCCCCCTGGCCCATTCCCACTCATCTTGGGCTGTTAGGCTTCTGACTTGGGAGCCTGTCACACAGAGTGTCTGTCTGTGGGCTCCTCCAATGCGAGCTTCTTAAACCATGCATGGCAACCCCACACGGGGTCATATAACTGAATATGGGAGGACCAGAATCGCTTGGCAATACACACTGACCAAAAACCGATTCAGAATCAAATATATGTTGAATCTGAGGTGTTCTGGTGGCACCCCCATGTTGCAACACATGAGTTCGCGGCAGCCTGGGCCCTGAGCACACAGCATGTGGTTTTTGCACTGTATATGCCGTCATACTGCCCAGTGCCAATGAACACTGACTGCCCCAAGCTCAGCTCTTATTCCAGACTATCGCTACAATTGCAGCGGACTTTTAAAAAATATTTTAGTGTGTGTGTGTGTATGTGTGTGTGTGTATGTGTGTGTGTGTGTGTGTGTGTGTGTGTGTGCGCATGCGAGACAGTGACCACAGTGTATGAATAGAGTTCAGAGAACAACGTATAGAAATGGGTTCTGCTTCTATATGTAGGTCCCGGGGACTGAACTCAGGTCATCAGACTTGGCAACAAGCCTCATTACTCACTGAGCCATCTTGCTGGCCCCTGCGGTGTTTTTAACTGCACAAAACTGTCTGCTCTTACAGAAACGTAATTATTTCGTTGTGCAAAACAAAGATCTTCTCTCTTTTCCTACCATCACTACCTATAGTGTATTAAATTAGTATACACTTGGATTGCATTGTGTACAAATGCTTGACTTTAAAATTGCTGTTTGAGTTGCTGACTTGACCCTCAGAATAAATCATTCTGTGAATGTTGGCTTAGGATTAGAATAGTTTCATATAATTTCTAAAATGGCCCCAGATACATCTCTGCCCTCTTGTACTATATATTTGTACAAAGCGCTGTTCTCAGTGTTGATAACTATGAACTATGACTCAACTCTGAAAAACAATAAAGAGGTTCTCTCACCTGCAGTATCACATACCCATTCAACCAGGATTTGGATTATCATACGATATAAAACTAAACAAGCGCATCCATCTCATTACTATGCAAACTTGCTTTTTGTCTTGATAAGTGGTAAAATTATATGTATACCAAAGAATTATTTTAAAACAAAGATGTGATTAGTTGTCAGTAAATGTTCAACATGTGGAGGCATTTTACATAACTACATGAGTAGAGTCATGTGAAACTTACTCCAGGAGAGGCGGTCATGAGTGGAAAGAGCTAAGAAACTTTGCTCTGGTTCACCCCATCTATTATGTACTGAACTGTGTAACCTACCCCCTGGAAATCACAGGTTGCAGCCCTAACCCTCAATACAACGGTACCTGGAAATATGACCTTTAAACAAAGGGCCTCAATGCAACAGTGCTTCCTTGTAAGGAGATGCCATAAGCACGTATACCCAAAGAAAGGCCGTGTGAGGACTCTGCCCGGCAGCCATTTGCAAGCCAAGAGAGAGGAAAGCCACACCAGAAACCAACCCTGCTGACACCTTCATCTTGGACTTCCAGCCTCCAGAGTTATGAGGGAAAAAAGCTTCTGTAGCTCAAGCCACCTTGTATGGATGTTTGTCACGGCACCTCTGACAGACTAGTCAAAAGGCCTTTCCTACCTCAGAGCCCCCCACCATGTGCGGCTGTCCCACGCTCCTGTAAGGCCAGTCCACCCTCCCACACTGGGCCAGTTAGCTCCTCAGCTTGCCGGCCTCACAGGAGACGTCGCCTCCCCCCACCCCCAGACCTTCCCTGACAATTCCTCCCTCTGTTCTTTTCCTTTAGAGACCCCACCAATGAAGCAGGTTTCACATTCCAGAAATGGGCCCATGCACAGGTAGATGAAATACATGATCAAACCAGAGATGTGGGGGTCAATAGATGGGATAACTTGGGCTCTAACTTGAAAGAAAAAAAATGGGTCTCCGAAACAAAACTAAAAAATATCTTAACCCAGATGTGATGGTATATACCTATAATGCCAGTACTTAGGAGCCTTAGGTGGGAGGATTCTGAGTGAGGCTAGCCTGGGCTCCCAAGTCAGCTCCAGACCATCCTGAGAAACATAACAAAACTCTGATCTTTAAAAGAAAAAAAATGGGGCTGGAGAGATGGCTCAGAGGTTAAGAGGTCTGCTCTTCCAGAGGTCCTGAGTTCAATTCCCAGCAACCACATGGTGGCTCACAACCATCTGTAATGAGAGCTGATGCTCCCTTCTGGCATATGGCAAGCTTACAGAAAGAACACTGTTCATATAATAAATAAAATAAATCTTTTTTTAAAAAAAAATGCTCTTAGCTTTATTATTTACACCATCAAAAATTCCCAATAGAAGAAACATTTGAAAATATAAAATAAAGCCACAAAAGTACCAGATGAAACTTTACAGTCACAGAGCACAAAGGGTCTTTAATTCTTCTTAAAATGGGTGTGCAAGTCATTAGACATTATTATGGTATTTAAGATTTATTTATGTTATGCCTGAGTGCTCTATCTGCATGTACACCTTTACACCAGAAGAGAGCATCAGATCCCACTATAGATGGCTGTGAGCCACCACATGGGTGCTGGGAATTGAACTCAGGACTTCTGAAAGAACAGCCGGTGCTCTTAACCACTGAGCCATCTCTCCAGCCCCTATTATGTTACCTTTTAACAAAGTGTGTGCTTTAGTAGATTCTCCTGACCCCCAGTTCTACACTGTGACCTCCGCCCCCCGCCACCTCAGTGGATTCATTCGAAGTTGGACAGAAAGGTGGGGACCTAGCTCAGTGGGAGAGCATAGTAGAGCATTCACCTAGCACACACAAGGCCTAGGGTTGGATCCCAACACAACACACACACAAAATTATGATACAAACTCAAGCCTATGACGGAAGAGACTGACTACATTAACCTCAAAAAAATAAATCTTGGGGACCAGAGAGATGGTGAAGTTTATAGAGTGTCTGCCACACAAATGAGAGGGCCTGAGTTCAGTTCCCAGCACCCCTCCCACCCAGATGGGATGGCCTACTCTAATCTCAGCCCTAAGCAAGCACAGACAAGAGAATCCCAGGACACTGAGTAGCCAACCCAGCCAAAGTAAAGAGCTGTGGGTAACAATGAGAAAACTTGTCTCAAAAAACAAGGTGGAGAATTTCCAAGGAACAACACCTAAAGTTAACTTCTGGCCTCCATATACATGCACACACACATACACATGTACACACACATGAACACACACAAGAAAATATCCATCTTAAAATGATTAATAAACTGAAGCAAATGCGTGAGACACGTCACAGACAAAAGTTAATTTGCATAATATACAAAGAGCTTCTAGAAATCAATGAGATCAATAGTCCAATGGGAGAATGTGGGAAAGATAAAACAGTTAACAGTAACTGAAATGAAATGGATTTTTAAACACATGAAAAAGGATTTACAAATTCAAATGGGATGCCATTTTTACCTATTATGTTGGCCAAGTTGACGAAGCTTAATAACAGATTGTTGGCAAGATTCTGAAGAAGCTGACACTCTCATTCATATTCACTCTCCGTGCATGTGACCTTTATGGAGGCAATAAACCATAATATTTAAAATGTGCAGACTCTTTAATCCAGTAATTGCAATTCCAGAAAATTATCCTATGGCATGGCTCTGCCTGCACATGCAAGAAATGACATATGCCTAAGAATATTCATAGTGCCATCGTTAAAAAAAATTGAAAAGGGTAGAAACAACCTAAATATCCTTTGCTATCAGGCTGGTTAAATAAACTGCAATATAATCCATATGACTGAGTATTGTACAGCCTTTAAAATGTAGAAGACACTTCCACAAACTGGCATGGCATATTTTCTAGGATATATTGTTATGTGGAAAAGCAAGTTATTGAAAGGGGTATATACCATGCTAGAATGTGTGTAAAAATAAAAGAATATGCATGCATATACTTATGTGTGCATTGATTAACTTTGGAATGAGACGCCAGGCCTGGTAACCAAGGCTGTCTTCCAGGAAGGGGTGGGAGCAGGGGAGTGAGGCTTCTTCCCTGCATAATCCTCTGTAAGGTTGGAATTTTGTATGTACTGTGTATCAAAATGAATTTCTGATTAGGAATAAATGAATTAAAAGCCATTTTAAGGGGGGAAATACCAAATTGGGAGGTGGGGACAGAAGCAGAATGTCACCCGTGACTATGTGATGTCCTGAATGCCTTGACTCCTTTACCTCCTGTATTTTTCTATATTTAACACAACTTCTTTAATGAGCATGTACTGATTTAAAATGGAGCAAAAGAATGGGTTGGTTGGTTTTGTTTTTTTTTTTCCTTAAGCATTGGCAGAGCCAGTTGTCAGCATCTCTCATTGGAACCCCATGTGTTCCCAGCTGGATGCAGCATGAAATCCCCAGGCCACAGCTGCCAAGCCTGTACCATCCATGCAAAGACCCTCAGAGCCTCTGTGTGTGGCTCCAGGGAGCCAAGCCATCCCTGCAGTTACACAGGTGCCTCTCCAAGCAGGCTGGAGGGCAGGGTCCCTTGGAGACAGCAGAATCCCACTCCAAGAGGGAGAGAAGAAGCACCCTGGGCCCAGAAGCTTGGAAAAATTACAAAACAGTTAACATTTGAACAGCACTGGAGTTTGCCAAATGCGTCTTATACAACATCTTATTTGATTCTCACAACCTGTGAGATGTGGCTCTGATAACCAGCCCCCCCACCTCCACCCCACGCACTGCCCCGTTAAAGGGAAAGAAACCGATGTTCTGAGAAAAGGTATCGGGTTCACATTGCCAGTTACCTGTCCTAAGGCCAGGTGTTCAGTTCTAACTACAGGCCTCAAACCCTTCCCACCCAGCAAAGATCCTTCCCTAAATTAGCTCATGGCCACAATGAGACGCCTCTGTTTCCTGAGCACACAGCTAGAGCACATACCTCTGCCCTTCCTACTGTTAAGTATCGTCTCTGATCAAAGCACAGCCTTTCAAACTGTCAGTTTGGCACCTAGGACCTTACTGCCCTGGAGAAAATTGCCCCTCCAAAGTTAGCAGACCCTGGAGCTAGTGAACAACCCCTGCCCCCAAGAGATGTCTTTCATGGCAAACTAACCAACCCAAAGCTACCCCTCAAGCACTTGCTTTATGGGGCTCCAATGGCACAGGACACCATTTTCCTACCCCAGTTACCCAAGACTAGGTATTACACAATAATGGGTCCTATATCCCCAAAGGCACGCCACTGAAATTGTTCACATTAGCCAATCAGAAGCCTGCCTTCCCTGCCTCCTTCCTTCCTTCCTGGGTCAACCATAACCATTTCCCTGCTCCCATCTCCTCCTGCCTGACCCCACTTTCCACCAGTGGTCCCAAGCTTCCCAGCATGTCCCCACCTCTTAATTGTCAGCAGTCATGAATGCAGTCATCTAACGACCTCTCTATGCATGGCCTACATTGTTAGAAGTCACAAGGTCGAATTTCCAGGCAACAGAGAAGTGAAAGACATCACATCTAGGCCTGGCCCATGCAAGTCTTCCATGCAGATAGCATGCATGCTCTCGCTCTCCCCTGTTTCCCCTCTCTCCATCCTTCTCTCCCTTCTTCTCCCTTCCTTCCTTGCCCTCCTCCATCCTTCTGGTCCTTGCCCTCCTGTCCTCTCTCTCCATCCTTCCCTCTCCTTCTCTCTCCCTAATGCAGAGCTTCCAACAGAGTATTTTGAGGTCCTAGAAGAGAGAAGAGCTACAAAGTGGAGGGAGCCTGGGTGTTTGAATCACCACATGGCAGGCCACCTGTCAAACCCTCATATCACACATATATCTGAGCAAAAAATAAACTTATATCGTGTGAAGACACTCCAGTCTTGGTGTCTCTGCTCTGGCAGTTGAACTATCCCAAGTAATGTAGTTGCCAAAACATGTCTTCGGTTACCTCCCTCCAAACACATCCCTAACTGCTGCTAAGACTCACCTCTTCCCTCTTCTCTATTCTTCCAGAGCCTCAGGGCTCTACAGATCCCTTCAGTCTACCAAAGGCCCCTAGAAGAACATACGATTATGTCAAGTATATTCCCCTAAATTCACTTCCACAAATGTCTCCTAAGCACCTACCATGTGTTTGATACAGAACAGGACATGAAACAAAGTCCCAGACTGAGGGTCGGCTAGGTTCCAACTGTGGAGGTCAGAAGCTTGGGAAGGCCCAGAAACCCCAAAGACAAATCAGATCTTATCGGTCACCCACATTGCAAGCTCTTTCATTACTAGGATACAGGAGTTAACATCAAAAGAAAAGGAAGAGGAGGATAAGATTGGGAATTGCTGAATCAATGCAGGGCTGGTGGAGGGCACCATGGGGAATCAGGGAGCATCTTGAGAACCTTGGGCCAAGCCAATGGAGCACCAGAGCCATAAAGGAAGGGAGTGATAACTCTGGAGACAGACGGCACTCACGCCCCACGTGGTTTCACAGAAGACACTTGGCTAACACTCCCTTACAGACATCCCAGCTGTATCCAGAAGCTAGCCCCTTCCCTGCATTCTCAGCAGGGTATAAGCATTTGTTTCTACACCTCTTTTCTCAGGCTGTGGTCCACTGAGCTGTGGCTCCTTTCTCCCGTGTACTTTCACAGCCCTTGGGCACTCACCCATGTGCTCAGCACCCATCCATGGAGTGGGAGATACAGCCTGTGAGACACCATCTTGATCAGGAATCACTGAATTGCAAAGAAAGGAAACTCCCTCCCAAACTAGCGTAATTGGTAGAGTATTTAAGTGAAAACTATGGGGTCCTTGAGGAAGCGCTGAAGAGGAAAGGAAGGCAGCCACGGGAGCTAGAAAGACAGTCCGGGTTCTCCCTCCCTCTCTCCTGCTTCCAGTGGTCCTTTGTTCCCAGGCTTCTCTGTAAATGAATTCATCTAGATAATGTGGTTCTAGCTCATCCATCACTGAGCTCTTCCGTGGTCATCCTGGGGCCAGGCTGACCGGCTCAGACTCTTTGGGGCACCCCTCCTCAACCTCACAACTCAGCAGCTCATCTTCTCAGTGTCTGTATTTCAGATTCATGAGTGAATTGATGTGATGGAGGAGCTGGGCAAATCAGGTCAGACAGCCGCTCCCGGCCTAATCGATGGAAACAGGGTCTGTTCCAGGGACTGCCATTCCTATCTGATGAACATGTTGTGGGCAGGCAGAGATACAACCTCATTTACACAGCCACCGCAGCCAGGTCCTAGCTCTCTAAACTTTCACTTACCCTCCTATAACCGGGAAATGACAGTCAGTCCTATTTCCCAACTAGGAAAGTAGCCTGAGGCATGCCAGGAACTCACCTGGGTCACTACGGAACTGATCTGCCACATTTCACTCTATCCTGGGTGGACAAATGCTATTGCCAGAAACTGGAGAGTATATGCTTGGAAAGCAAAGATGATGTATTCACTGTGCCAAGTTACATGAGGCTAGAACATTGGTCAAAGTGCATTTCCAATGTAGACCTCAAACAGGGGGAAAGACCTCCATGGGTTAACACCATATCCTTCTACCAAGGGTAATTCTTATTCACCATTCTGCCCATCCACCCCCAAATGCCTACCAGGTACATGGTAAGTATTTAGTGCCGGCTTTTTTTTTTTTTTTTTTTTTTGGAATGAGTTGATTATCTTCGGTGGAGTAGATCCAAATTAACACTGTATGCAGCACTTTGGGTGATTTACCGAGAACTCATGTCCATTATAGATTTCAAAGAAAAACACCATGAGCCTCATTCTGTATGAATGAAGGCTGAAGGTTGGTGCAGCTAATTGATCCAGCCTATTGGTGAGTGTTGACTCTGAGTCTGAACCTCAGGACTTCTCCACCCAAATATGGGCTCTTTCCTCTGTAGGAAAGAAGGCATCAACACCAGGATATGGGTCCCTGCTGCCCCAGCCCTGACTGACTCAGTCACAGTAAGCCATTTTCCACCCCATAAACTAGCCATCCAAGATTCAATTCCTACAGATATAGGTCTGGCCCTGCTTCCATGTCATGTCACAGAACCCTGGAAGGAGGAATGAATACTAAACTAGGCACTGTGGTGCTATACATGATGGATCTATTAGAACTCCCACCTCTTGGCCCCTTCCATGCCTCTACTGAGTTTGAGGCCAGGTCTGAGCTGAGTTCTGAACCTCATTTATTGACGATATAAAATCCAAGGTTTTGCTTCCCCCACGATCCCTCCTGAGCCTGCGTTTTTAAAGCAGCGTTAGCCACTGAAAAACAGTCCTGTCCATTTGGTTACTGCCTCTGAGAGAATTGATATGCTTTGGAGCATTTGTTTATTTAATAATTCCAAATTAGATTTAGAATTTTACAGCATTGCTATTAAATATGTGTCATCTATTTTGAACCATATATAAAACTGTTTATAAGAATTGTGTGTGCACTTCCGAGTATTTATTTAATCTTCTGAATTAACCTTTGGATTTCTGCAAAGTGCCTCATTAAGCATGTCACTTCTTCACTTAACACACTGCATAAAGATATCCGTGAGAATTATATTGTTTTTAGCATTTATCTACTTAACCAAA